TTCTCTCCAGATTCCATTTTACATATTTACCATCAGATATGTCATATTCTCACATAAGAAAAAGCACATTCTCAGACATATTTTCACTAATTGGGATCATGTCACATAGTGTTGGATGACACCACACACACACATTACGTATTCTGTTCTTGTGCGGTTCCTGTCTTGGCCCCTCACCTGTTAATCCGTCTAATCTGAGCAGGTCTGCACGTGTAGGCTGACTTGTGTCTGGCACCATCCAGATGGCTGAGGCCCCTTGAGGGATGCTGGGGTCAGTGGGGAGCAGGGTGAGGAGACAGCCGTGACTGTTGCTGCAGTCACCATCATCCTCACAATTTGTATCTTTTCAAGGTCCCGTGTGGGCTTAGCAGATGGTTTCATGTTGAGCAAGGAGAGGGAGGAGGGGCATTAAAAGAGTTCACAGAAAAGGTCTTATTTGCCCCTTGAAGGCACAAGTGGCTCCCCCGGACAGCATAGATAGCAGGAAGGGCATCCTTGGCAGAGGGCACTGCCAGTGCAAAGCCTGGAGGCCTGAAGGCATTCATCATGTTCAGAAAGCAAGGAGTCCCCAGCATGGCTACAAAGCAGGAGGGTGGCAAGGCCAGTGAAGAGGAGGAGAGGCAGAAAAGAGTCCAGTAGCTTGGGACTGGCACCAGCCTGCAACTCTGCTGAGCCTTTGGGGACAGGAGCCTCAGACAGGGAAGTGGGGCAGGCAGTCAGATGGGGAGGAGCCGTGGGAGGCCTGAGGATGGGGCTGGGGGCACATTCATGCACCCACCCCTGAGGGGAGTGGACATGTGCACTTTCAGGACTCAGGCTGGCATCTCCACCTTCCACCCAGCAACTCTCCTCTGGGAACTTACCCGGAGGGATTAACCAAACCGGTGAGCAAAGGGGTAAAGAGGTACCAGGAGGTCCATGGCCCCACCTATCCACCTTCAGGGAAGCAAGAAGACTAGGCAGTCACACTGGAACGCTTGCTCCAGGGCCCAGGTGCCAGGCAAGTGTGCTATCAGGACGGCCTGACTTGGTCATCCTGACGCTCCTCTTAGATGACTATGATCACCCACCCCATTTCATTGAGGCTCCGAATGTCTGGAGTGAGCCAGGCAAGGCATCATGGGCTGACCTGTGTTCCCCAAAAGTCATGTTGAAGTTCTAACCCACATTTCCTCAGAACGCGGCTTTATTTGGAGATAGGGCCTGGAAAGAGATGAGTACGTTAAAACGGGGTCATTAGGGTGGGCCCCGACCCAGTATGACTGGTATCCCTTCACAAGGTCAAGAGACGAGACCATCCTGGTCAACATGGTGAAACCCCGTCTCTACTAAAAATACAAAAAATTAGCTGGGCATGGTGGCGCGTGCTTGTAATCCCAGCTACTCAGGAGGCTGAGGCAGGAGAATTGTCTGAACCCAGGAGGCGGAGGTTGCGGTGAGCCGAGATCGTGCCATTGTGCTCCAGCCTGGGTAACAAGAGCGAAACTCCGTCTCAAAATAAATAAATAAATAAATAAATAAATAAATATAAAAATAAAAAAATAAAAAAATGACTGGTATCCCTGTAAGAAGAGGTCAGGATGCAGACACAAAGGAAAGGCCATCTAAGGACATAGTAAGAAGGTGGCCATCTGCAAGCCAAGACAGACCTCAGTAGAAACCGCCCCAGCTGACATCTTGGGCTTGGATTTCCAGCCTCCAGAATTGTAAGAAAATTAATTTCTTTTGTTCAAGCCACCCATCGGTGGCGTATTGCTGTAACGGGCCCAGCAAACCATACACAAGGTAATGGACTAGAAAGCGGTTTGACCATAGGCCCCTCTGACCCCAGTGTCTGGGGGTTTTACTTCGGGTCCCCAGCATCCCTTCCAGAGGCTAAAACAACTCAGGACGCTGAGATTTTGTACTCTAGGGTGACAGGAAAATGCAGCTTACAGGACAGTAGGTCTGAACTGGGGCAGTGAGCGTGCATGCTTTCTTTTAAGTATCTGCAGAGACACTCACACACATACAGCTCTAGAAAAATCTACCCAAGGTATTGACAGTAGTTGTCTTTGTGTGGGTGGGATTATGAGCGTTTTCTTACTTTCTTCTTGTTGCTTCTCCATAGCCTGTGATTTTTCTGTAGTGAATGTGTATTGCTCTATGGCAGAAAAATAAAAAGAGAAATAGCAAAAACAGTGGCCTTGGTAAGTGGAAGCCTGGAGGCGGGGAGGCCAGGGCATGAGGCAGACACAGGTTTTGGCTGGAGATGGTGAGCTCTGGGCTAGGCCTAGGGTAGGGGATGGGGGATAGGCTGGGGAAAGGGGAGGAGGACGGGGTGGTGCTGTGGCAGTGAAAGGTTTGGAGGCATTGGGGGGACGGCAGGGGTGGGGCTGCTGAATAAAGTACAAGACACCCAATTAAATCTGAATTTCAGATAATCAATCCAAAATGTTTTTAGTATAAGTATATACCATGCAATATCTCGGACACGCTTGTGCTAAACAGTGATTTGTTGTTTATCTGAAATTAACATTCAACAAGACAGTCTGGGTTTTTTGTTGTTGTTGTTATATTTATTTTTCTAAATATAACAACCCTCATGGAGGAAGAGTGGGCTGTGGCAAATCTGAGGGCCTGGGAGGAGCGGTCTCCAAGCTCAAAGGACAGGTGAGCACAATAAAGCCATGGTCCCTGAGGGCTTCAGTTCCATCTCTCAGAAATGGTTGGTTGCCTGTGGCCAGACACAAGCCCCAGACTCTCCAGAGACTGAAAATCTGAAGACCTGGGACTAAGCACGGCCAGCTACATACACTGCGGACTCAGTGCAAAATGAAAACCTGGGGTCCCCGTTCAAAAAGCAGGGGAGGGTGCCACTAAAGGTACCAAATATAATGCCTTTCCCTTTCTCCCATGGCACCTCAACGCGCCATGTTGTTCACTTGCAATTTAATTCATTATAAATAAAGAAAAAGTAACATTTTAAATTCTGTGTTAGTCTGGGTTATCCAGAGAAACAGAGCTAATAAGAGATAGATGGATGGATGGATGGATGGATGGATGGATGGATGGATGGATAGACAGATGACAGATAGATAGGCAGACTGATTGATTGATTGATTTCAAATTACTGCAAGGAATTGGCTCGTAAATATGACCCCAAAAGCACAGTTAACAAAAACAAAAATAGACAAAGGAGATTGCATCAAACTAAAAGGCAAAAGAAACAATCAACAGGGAGGAAGCAACCTAGGAGTGGGAAAAAATACCTGCAAACCATACATCTGAGGAGGGGTTCATCTCCAAAATATATAGGAAACACAAACAAGTCAATAGCGAGAAAACAATCCCAATTAAAGAAAAGGCAAAGGTTGAAAGTGGTGGCTCACCTGTAATTCCAGCTTTGGGAGGCTGAGGTAGGGGGATTGCTTGAGGTCAGGAGTTCAAGATCAGCCTGGGCAACATGGCAAGACCCCATCTTTAAAGCAAAAAACAAAATTTAATGAGCAAAGGACCTGAATAGGTATCTTTCAAAAAAGAAAAACATACAAATCACCGACAGATACAGCTGACCCTTGAACAATACAGGTTTGAATTGCAAAGGTCCACTTATCCACAGATTATTTTCAATTAAACGCAGGTAGAAAATACAGCATTTGCAGGATGTGAAACCTGTGTATACAGAGGGCCAACTTGATTTTTTGTATATGTGGGTTCCACAGGGCCAACTGAGGAACTTCAGTACGCTCAGATTTTGCAAATCCACGGCTTCTGGTGCCAATCCCCTGTGTGCACAGAGGGACGAGCTTATGTGAAAAAATGCCCAGCATCACTCATCCTCAGGAAAATGCAAATCGAAAGCACAATGAGCTGTCCCCTCACACCTGTTATCACGGCTGTCAAAAACCAAAAGAGATAACAGGTATCAGCCAGAATATGGAGAGAAGATCACCCTTGCAACACTGTTGATGGGAATGTAAATTGGTGCAGCCAATATAGAAAAGAGTATGGAAGTTCCTCGAAAAATTAAACATTGAACTAGCTTATAATCCAGCAATTTCACTTCCAGGTATATATCCAAAGGGAATGAAACCAGCACGCCACAAAGAGCTCTGCACTCCCAGTTCATTGCAGCACTATTCGCAGCAGCCAAGATAGAGGACCAACCTGAGTGTCCATCACTGAATGCATGGATAAAGAAAACGTGATGCCTATATGTAATAGAATATTATTCCACCATAAAAAAATGAAATCCTGTCATTTTTGAAAGCATGGATGAACCTAGAAGACATCATGTTAAGTGAATTAAACCAGACACAGGAAGACAAATACTCCACAACCTCGCTTCTGTGTGGAATCTAAAACAGGTGAGCTCATCAAAGCAGAGGGCAGAAGGGTAGTTGTCAGGGGCTGAGGGTGGTGGAGAAGTGGGCAGATGTTTGCTTGTCCCTGGGCTGGGCACTGTAAAAGCAGCTGTGGACACTCGCCACCACAGTGCACCCAGACTCAGGGAGGTCATGGCCAGGGCTGGGCAGAGGAAGGTACCAGGGAGAGGTAGCTGTGTGTGCAAAGGCCAAGAAATTGCAAAACATGTCATTCAGTCAAAGCTGTAATGCAGGTACGTGCCTGTGTGTGATGTGTGTGTTATCTGTGTTCATGTGTGTAATGTGCAAGTGTCTGTGCATGTATGCTTTTGTACATGTATGTCTGCATGTGTGTTCACATGTGAGGATGTGTAATGTCTAACATGTACATGCCTGTGCACGAGTGAGCATGTATGAGAATACATATAATGTCATCACTCTCTACAGCCTTGCTAAGTCCCTGATGCCCACCAGGCCTGTCCCTGTCCCCAGTACCATCCTAACAGAGCAGTCAGGATAGCTGGAGAAACAGAAATCAACAATACAGAAAGCCTGGGAGGTGGAAACACCAAGGAGGGAGGTCAGGGAGGGCTTCCTGGAGATGATGTGTCATGAAGAAAAATTGGGAGAAGAACCCCAGAAGGGAAGAAATAACATGTATGAAGCCTTGGCAGTGAGGAGCATCCTAGCAGGTATGGGCAATGGCAGTGAAGTCCACTAGGCCAGAGAGGGAGAGGGTGAAGACAAAAGATGAGGCTGGAAGACACTGTGTGGAGTTGACCCTTTACCTTGAAGGCCCCAGGGAGAGATGGGAAAGTGCTGTGCAGGTAAGCAGAGGGGCCAGAGGGAGGGTATCTGTGCTGAGAGGCTGCTGTTACATCATGATGGCCTAATCACCTGAAGTAAGATGCTGGATTCTAGCTCCATCCTGGTCACAGCCCTGTGTACTCTGGCCTGAACTTCCTGCCCCACTTATGGCTGGGCCCAATCATGCTGCTCTGGGCAGAGCTCAGGGCTGCCAAACACAGCAGTGTGGGCAGCATGAGACCCCTGCTCCACGTGCACAGCACTGAGGGCAGCATGAGACCCCTGCTCCACGTGCACAGCAGCGAGGCCGGCGCCAGGCTCCTGCTCCACGTGCACAGCAGCTAGGCCGGCGCCAGGCTCCTGCTCCAGGTGCACAGCAGAGAGGGCAGCATCAAACTCCTGCTCCACGTGCACAGCAGCGAGGGCAGCGCCACGCTACAGCTCCACATCCACAACAGCGAGGGCAGCGCCAGACTCCTGCTCCACATCCACAGCAGCGAGGGCAGCGCCAGACTCCTGCTCCACATCCACAGCAGCGAGGCCAGCGCCAGGCTCCTGCTCCACGCGCACAGCAGCGAGGCCAGCGCCAGGCTCCTGCTCCACGCGCACAGCAGCGAGGCCAGCGCCAGGCTCCTGCTCCACGTCAGGCTCCTGCTCCACGTGCACAGCAGCCAGGGCAGCGCCAGACTCCTGCTCCACGTGCACAGCAGCCAGGGCAGCACCAGGCTACTGCTCCATGTGTACTGCAGGTCCCAGCCCCCCAGCACCCTCCCTGGAGAAAACACTTGAGCCCTCTCTAACCATCCCTGCCTGTGGCTGCACCCCAACCTTCACAGCCGTCCCTCTGGGGACCCATCCTCCTCTAAGGGCAATGCAGAATCAGAAGCCACAAAGCACTGTTCTTGTATGGAATACACTGAAGCCCCAGAGAAGATTCCACTTAAAAGTTCCCCTGATTGCAGGAGCTTGCATACTGTTGGTCTTTCCAGATTCATCTCTAAATCCAATGCAATTCCACACAAAATCCCAAGAGGGTTGTTTACAAGTGTATCCCAGCATTCACAGAAAAGAGTAGGACCAAGTGTAGACTGGAGAAATTTTGGCGAGGAAACAATTGAAGAGAAATTATGCACCCATTCCTTCTTTCGACAAATATTTAATCAAGGCCTAAAATGAGCCAGTCATGATTCCTGCTCCACAGGAAACAGAACCAGCAAAGTCCCACCCAAATGGAGGTCACACTCAGCTTAGGGGAGAACAATAATAAACAGATAAGCTTTGGGCAGTAATAACTAATCAACATCAAATAGTTTAAAAGTGCTATGAAGAAAAATAAGGTCAGTGTTTTTGTTATCTATTCACATGCAATGGATCACCCCGAAACACAGTGGCTTAAACTAATAGCACTTATGTTATCATCACTCCTTGAAGTTCTGGAGACTGACAGGGCTCTGCTGGGCGGTTCTTGCCTGAGCTTTCTCTCGCAGTTGCAGTTGGATGGCTGCTGGGCTGGTGTCATCTCGAGGGCTTCACACTTCTGGTGGCTGTGGCCAGCTGTCAGCTGTAAACTCCTTAGGCCTGAAGAATACCCACATGGTATCTCTCCAGGTGACCTGGCTTCCTGCCCACAGGTCAGCTTGCCCTCTGTGTGAGCAACCCAAGAGAATCCATGAGTGACATTGTGACAACTAAGCCTCAGCAGTTACAGAGCATCATTTTGGAAAATTCCATTTGTCCGGGCAGTCAGAGGGGTCTGCCTGGCTCCAGGGAGGGGGCATGGACACCCATTTGATAGAAGGAGTGCCAAGGTCACACTGTGGAAGAGCACGAGGAACAGGACAGACAGTGGTTGCCACATTTGGAAAAAACATTCTGCCAAGTCCAGCATAAGGGAACAGAGAGGCTTAAAGTCAGAATGAGGAGGCCCAGCACCACACAGGATAGATAGGGAGACCACAGGATAGAGCAGAGCCCACAGAGAGGCTCGTCAGCATGTGGGAGCACAGCGTGCAATGGAGGGCTGTCTGCCATCAGTGGGAATGAAGGGCTGCTCCGTAAATCTCACTGGGACCGGTGAGGAGAAAAGCACAGTGGAGGAATCCCACGCAATCCTCAGAAGTAAGTAGCCCATGGATGAAGACCTGAATATGAACAACAAACTGCTCTAACTCCTAGAAAAATGCATAGAAGAATATCTACGTGCTGCAACAAGATACCACCTCACACCCATTGGGATGCTACTATATTCTTTAAAAAGGCAGAAGATAAGTGTTGGGGAGGATGTGGAGAAACTGAAACTCTGTGCACTGTTTGGTGAGAATGTAAAATGGTGCTATAGAAAACAGTATGGAGGTTCCTCAAAAAACTAAAAATAGAATTACCATATGATCAGCAATTCTACTTCTGGGTATAAACCCAAAAGAATTGAAAGCAGGGTTTTGAAGAGATATTTGTACACTCACGCTCAGAGCAGCATTGTTCACAGCAGCTTAATGTGGGAGCAAGCAGATACGGTTTGAATGTCCTGCCCAAATGTCATGACGAACTGTGATCCCAATGTTGGAGGAGGGGCCTGGTGGGAGGAGTTTGGGTCATGGGCCAGATCCCTCATGGCTGGCTGATGCCCTTGCAATGGGGGTGAGTTCTCATGAGATCTGGTTGTTACAGAATGTGGCATCCCCCACCCCTCACTCTCTTGCTCCTGCTTTCGCTATGTGAAATGCTTGCTGCTGGTTCACTTCCGCCCATGAGTAAAAGCTTTCTGAGGTCTCCCCAGAAACAGATGCTGGCACTGTGCTTTCTGTACAGCCTGCAGAACCAGGAGCCAAGTAAACCTTTTTTCTTATAAACTACCCAGTCTCCGGTATTTCTTTATAGCAATGCAAGAACCGCCTAGCACACAATCCAAGTGTCCATTGACTGGTGAATGGATAAACAAAATGTGGTCTGTCCATACAATGGAATATTATTAAGCCATGAAAAGGAAGAAAATCCTGACACAGACTACAACGTAGATGACTATTGAAGACGTTATGCTGAGTGAAATTAACCAGACACAAAAGGACAAATACAGTATGATTCTACTTATATGAGGTACTTAGGGTAGTGAAATTCACAGGAACAGAAAGTAGAATGGTGGTTGCCATGGGTGGGGGCAAAGAGAGAAGGGAGAGTGGACAGTGGTTTAATGGGTATAGAGTTTCAGTTCCGTAAGATGAAGACAGTTCTGGGGATTTTCAATTTACCACAATTGAAAAGTATATATATACATGCACACATATATATAATAAATTGTGTGTATATAAAAAATTGTATGTGCATACACAATTTTTTTAAATAATGTATTCATGGTCTTACACAATTTTAGGATAGGGAAAATTTTCCTATTTAAAACAAAAGAAAAAGCACTCCCAAAGGAAATATTGCTATATGACCTAACTGACATTTTCTCTGCAACAAAAGATGCTATCACAAAGCTGGGTCAGGCACTGGTGTTCACCCTGTCCCTGCAGGCCCGTGGTCACCTCTGCTGCCTCTGCAGCCTGCTCTCTGCCCTGGGAGGCAGGTGGCCGTCTGGACTCTCCAGCTGCAGCTCTCTTCCATGGGCCCCATGGGAGGGCTTGGACTTGGCCAGCAGGAGCCCAGGCAGGAGGCTGCAAGGCTGAGAAGGACGAGGTGAGGAATCTTAGTCCCAGGGACCTCCGACAGCATCATGTGGGCATGCCTAAGACCAGCTGGGCAGCTTTCTGCACGTGGCTCTGTCTCCCTCCAGACCTGGGGATGTCAGCGCTGTGGCCAGGTGCCTGCCGGGGGACTGCGGCAGCCCTGTTGGTTTCTCTGAACCTTTGCCGTTAGTCCCTGGTTAAATTCTCCTCAAATACTCCATCTGAGGGTGCCGGTTGTTTCCCTGTTTGTTAGAAAAGGATAAAGCCAACACTGGAAGCATATTCCCGGCACACATAAGCCACAGGAGGATATGCAGCTGGCCCTCCATATCCGGATAGTTCTGCATCCTCAGGGTCAATCAGCTGAGAATCAAAAATATATTTTTAATAAATAATAATAATAGGCCGGCTGCAGTGGCTCACTCCTGTCATCTCAGCACTTTGGGAGGCTGAGGCAGGCAGAACACCTAAGGTCGGGAGTTCAAGACCAGCCTGGCCAACGTGGTGAAACCCTGTATCTATTAAAAATACAAAAATTAGCCAGGTGTGGTGGCAGGTGCCTGTAATCCCAGCTACTTGGGAGGCTGAGGCAGGAGAATGCTTGAGCCAAGGAGGTGGAGGTTGCAGTGAGCCGGGATCACCGCACTGCACTCCAGCCTGGGGAACAGAGTGAGATGCCATTGCCAAATAAATAAATTATACAAGTTTGAAAAATACCCTTTAACAACTACTCACATAGCATTTACATTATATTGTCTACTGCAATCTAGAGATGATTAAAAGTCTAGGAGGGATGTGCACAGGTCACAGCAGACATCATGCCCCTTTAGACCAGGGACTTGAACATCTGTGGATGTCAGTATCTGTGGGAGGCCCGGAGTCAATCCCCCAGGATTCCAGGGATGTCTGCACACGGTGAATGTCTTCAACACAGTAGAAAGACGGACAGAGTGAAATTGCCCAAGGTGGAAAAGGGAGTGACCCACAAACACACATGACGGGCCACCTGCCTTGTGCACTCAACAAAGATGTCCCATTCTCTTCCCCAGAAGCTATTAATATGTACCGCGTATGGCAAAAGGGACTTTGCCAATGTGATGAAGTGGACTTTGAGATGGAGCAAGGATCCCTGATGACCTGGGTGGGCTCAGTGTCACCACAGAAGTCTCGATAGCAGAGGAAAGAGATTTTAAAACAGTGCACTGCTGGCTTTGAAGATGGAGGAAGGAGGCATAAGCCAAGGAAAGATAGCGTCTCAAGAAGCTGGGAGGGGAGAAGAAACAGATTCTTTCCTAAAGTCTTCAGGAGGGTGCAGCCCTGTTGACACCTTGACTTAGCCCCATGAGACCCGTGTCAGACCTCTGGCCTCCAGAACTGACAGCATCTATGCTCCTTTAAGCCACTAAGTTGTACTGATTTGTTTCAGCAGCAACAGGAAATTCATACACCTTCACTAAGAATCACAGAGAAACAAACAAAATGACAACGGCAAACATTCCGCACCAAACAGCGGAAACTGAAGGGTCCAAGACACGGCGAAGCTGGAGCGCAGGACAGCCTCGCTTGGGAGACTCGCTTGAGAGAACAGCCCAGCGGCATTCTAGGACACTGGAAGCGTCCACACCCAGGACTTGGTGAAGCTCCTCTGAGCCCCGTAGCCCAGTTTGGGGGCTGGTCCTCAGGGATGGCCCCCAGTAGCCATGCATGGGTGGGCCCCTCCCACATTGGTGCTGGGTGAGCTTGTGACTTGCTTTAACCAGGGGAAGGCACAGGCTGGATGTCTGGATCCAGGCCACAAGGAGGCTTGACAGTTTCTGATTTTATACTTCTGGGGCCCAGAGTCCCCATGAATGGGCCAGCTACTCTGCTGGAATGGCCACAGGGAGAGGGTGAGAGGCCCAGCCATCCTAACGTTGTCCTGAGCCTCCCATTCTAGCCACCATCTGACTGTGAGTGAGACCAGCAGAAGAACAGCCCGCTAAGCCCAGTTAGGCCACAAAAGCAGGAGAAATAATAACAGGTTGCTTTAAGCCACTGAGTTATCGTGGTCTGTTATGCAGCATTAGGAAAGCAAAGAATCTGGACCGGGGACCTTCCCCAGGAGCACAAGGAGAAGCCCCCCCACTGGTGAGGCCCTGGAATGACCTGCAAGGGGGGTGGGCATAGGTGTTCACCTGTGATCTACAGCAGTGGACTCCTCACAGCAGCTAGGGTGAAGAAGCTGGATCAACACACCCCACCCTGGGTGAGGCTCGAAGGTATCACGTGGCTGTTGGATGACTCCATTGATATGAAATTTCCAGCAGAGAGAAATCCACAGTGACAGAAAGCAGATAGGCAGTTGTCTAAAAGGGGATAGGTGGTCGGGGCCGGTATGCTGCTTAATTGCCTGAAGTCTCCTTTGGGTGTGCCAGAAATCTTTCGGAACTACATAGAGGCCACGGTCACACAGCGTTGTGAATGTGCTGGGTGCCTCTCAAGCATACACTTTAGAATGGTTAATTCTATGTTGTGTGAATGATACCTCAATAAAAGAATATTAATGTGGAGTGGAAAAAGCAAGAGGATATGTGCAAACTGATGTGGATGAAAAAGCACAAAAATAATCTAAAATGTATTTATGGATATACACGGTAAATACATAAAAACATCTACAGGAATGACGGGCAATGGAGACAGCACACCACCACCACGGCACGTGTATACCTACGTAACAAACCGGCACGATCTGCACATGCTCCCCAGAATTTAAAGTATAATAAATAAATTTTTTAAAAAACATCTACAGTAAAGGTGGCAATCAACCTCAAAAGAGTGCCTCACGCAGGCAGCGAGAGGGGAAGGAGTTCTGAAGGAGGATGGGCGACGGCGAGGAAGGGGCTTCCAGCCGTATCAAATGTTTATTTCCTGTTTAAAAACCAAAAGCAAACGTTGCTCTGAATTGAACCTGAGTAGTGGGCATGGATGGGTTATACTTTTCTGTATGTTTGAAACAGACCATCCTTTAGCATAAAAGACAGAACCCAATCCCAATGCCCTGCCCTCCCAAAAAGGAGGTGCCCTGGTGTTGTCAGGGTTGTCTGAGAGGCCCTTCTGGCCCAGGGTGGTGCACATGGCCAAGGTCAGGGCGGTCAGGCTCAGAGAAGCTCACCCCAGGAAAAGCTGGCACATGGCGCTTTCTGCAGCTGGGCCCCCCAAGTGAATCTGCACAGCAACACTCTAAAGAAGACCTGATTATAACTCCCATTTTACAGATGGGGAAACCAAGTCATGGGCCGTTACATGACCCAGCTGGCAAGAGACAGAGCTGGGATTCCACCCCAGGCAGCTGAGCTCCCAAGGGCAGGCCTGACTGCATTTACTACCCTGCCTAGCACCCTGGACATTGTCCCCGAGTCCAAGTGATTTCACATGTCTGCCTGGGCTGCACCTGAAGTCCTGAGGGCTAGCACTTCCTTTTCAGAATATGTGCCACCCTCACCAACCCACTGCCAGTGAGCCTTGCTTCTACCAGCTTGCAGCACCCACCCTCAGATGAGTCAAAGGAAAAGGAAATAACAGGTGAACCCCACAACCCCTGGGTGCCCCCAGATAGGGTCTGAGGGCTTTGAAATTGGCTCGATGATCACCTTTGACCCTAGACCAGACACCTCCCCGCTGTGACACCTGGGGTGTCTTGCACTCAGTGTCACCCACAGACATGTCCAAGGAGGGTGTTCAAGCCACTCCTCTGACGCTGCTGGAGAGCCACTGAGCTGTGAGCCTGGGAAGCCCCTGACACACCTGCACAGGCTCCGAGGAGAAAGGGCAGAGACAAGCAGCTACTGTTTCGCCAGGCCTCAGTTGTCCTCCCCTGTGAATGGGGGTGGTCCTACCTGCCTCACGGGGTGTATAAGGACGGAATGAGCCACTGCCTGCAAAATGGTCCCAGGACAGTACATGGCAGCCAGTCTTGACGTTTCTAGATGTAGCCATGACTGATCAGGAGAGGCCTACCCTGGGTGTGGGTGAAGCACGTGCTCTGTTTTGCGGCCACCGTCAGTGTGCTGAGCTCCTTCCCTCCTAGATTCAGTGTTCACATCTGTGCAAGGGGTGAATAGACAGCCTGGAGCCAGAAGAGCTGCCCAGACCCCGCCCTGAGGCTGAAAGCCCTTTCCCTCTTCCTAGGCCAGCTGGGATCCCTGGAGAGGCTGATGTTCCTGGAGCCCCTGTCCCCTCTGCTGTGATCCCCAGCAGAGCCTCATGGGCAATCCCCTCAGCTGGCTCTGAGACCCCTGGGTGTCCCCCAGAAAATGCCTACAGAGCCCTGTAAGGCAGGATTCTTTCAACGGGGTGTCCATAGGGCTCGCATTCCAGGGAGCTGCAGAGGTGGGACTGAAGCTCAGGGCTATGGTCCCCCGAACCCCAAGTCTTTCCCCCTCCTAGGGAAAGAGCACAGTCACCACTGCACTCAGTTT